TTTCTGTGTAGAATTCAACAAGCAAATTAAACCAAAAATAAAACTAAGCCTTCTTGTTGACCAATCTACTCATCCACCTACAGCTCCTCTTAGTTGTTTACCAACACTAACAGCTGATTAAGTCGATCATCTCTGCTGCTGCTCTGTCAGCGGATTGTCTATCAATCCAAACTGCAGCTTGCAGATTTTAATGCCTGCCCCAACATGAACTGCAGTAAAAAAACGACCATTAAAAGTGTTCCCATTGAGCCCAATCGATGGTATAGACAGTGCAGTATCAATATAATTGATAACTTCCCTTGATGTATCATATAGGACTATAATTTGTATAATTTGTCTCCCCACAGCGATGAACAACTGGATTTGGGTCTTTCGAATGCCAACTATGTGGCCAGTTCGAATTCTAGTCTCTCTTCAGCTGGCAACTCTGAAAGTCCCAGCACATCGATGGAACACTTTGCTGCCAGTGCTGGTGCAGCAGGTGGTGGGCCCGCCAGTGTGGGACAAGGACAAGGAGCACCTGTCATGTCAAGAGAATTGAGCCTGAATCAGCATCCATATTTACTCAGACAACAGCATGCGCAGCAGCACTGTCAGCAGGACTCGTTTCAGGGCAGCGTGGCGCCTGGTGGTGGCAGCATTCCGTCCAGCAATTCGAGCTTTTGGAATTCGGGCCACCCATTGCCACGGCAGTGGAACCTCGAGAGCGATGACGAGGAGGATCTCAATGAGGCCGATTGGAGTTCAATGGTGGCAGCCGAGATGCTGGCAGCACTCACCGATGCCGAAAAGAAGCGTCAAGAAATTATCAATGGTGGGTCTCGAGCATCAAAAGTGAACTGTGGTTGGATCATGAATCAATTTCAACCCTTTCCTTCCCTTCCTTTACAGAAATTTATCAAACGGAACGCAATCATGTGCGCACACTCAAGCTGCTCGATCGCCTGTTCTTCCTGCCGCTCTATGAGAGCGGAATGCTGTCGCAGGATCATCTGCTGCTGCTCTTTCCACCGGCGCTGCTGTCGCTGCGCGAGATACACGGCGCCTTTGAGCAGCAGCTGAAGCAGCGACGCATTGAGCACAATCACGTGGTGAATCACATTGGAGACCTGCTCGCGGACATGTTCGATGGCCAGTCCGGGGATGTGCTGTGCGAGTATGCGGCACAGTTTTGTGCGCGGCAGCAAATCGCCCTGGAGGGGCTCAAGGAGAAGCGCAACAAGGACGAGCAGTTGCAGAAGCTGCTGCGAAAGTCCGAGTCGCACAAGGCCTGTCGTCGGCTCGAGCTGAAGGACTTGCTGCCGACTGTACTGCAGCGTCTGACCAAGTATCCATTGCTGTTTGAGAATCTGCACAAGGTCACGGTTCGGGTATTGCCCGAGAATACCGACGAAGCGGAGGCCATACAGCGTGCCGTTGAATCCTCAAAGAGGATACTCGTTGAAGTGAATCAGGCCGTAAAGACAGCCGAGGATGCTCACAAGTAATTATACATTTAATCTGAATGTTTCTCTTGTCTGATCTTCCCCTCATTCGCATAGATTACAAAACATTCAGCGCAAATTAGACAGATCCTCCTATGACAAGGAGGAGTTTAAGAAACTGGACTTGACGCAACATCGCCTCATACACGACGGCAATCTGACAATGAAGAAGAATCCCAGCACACAGCTGCACGGCTTGCTCTTTGAAAATATGATTGTGTTACTCACCAAACAGGCAAGTCGAAGTCTGTGGATTCTAACCCTTTTACATGTCCAATTTCTATGCTTTTAGGATGACAAATATTCGCTTAAGAATCTGCACACACCTTTGGTGGTCAACAACAAGCCGGTTAGCCCCATCATGAGCATTGATGCGGAGACGCTGGTGCGCCAGGAAGCGGCCGACAAGAACTCCTTTTTCCTCATCAAAACAAAGACATCACAAATGCTGGAGCTGCGCGCGCCCAGCAGTTCCGAGTGCAAGACGTAAGGAGTTGCTTTCCCCTAATGTAGATTTGAATTTAAAATTGAATTTTTTGCAGTTGGTTCAAGCACATTTCGGATGCGGCAGCACAGCACTCGAAGCATCGACCGAAGAATGCCGCCAATAGCCATGACACGAGCATCGGCAGTGATCCGGCAGTCGCCAGCATACCGCATTCCAGCACCAAGGAGTCGCTGGAGCTGGCTGCCGAGTGCCCGCAGCCAATGGCCGCCATTGCGACTGTGACAACGACACCATTGGCGCCATTGCTGCCCATAGCCACAGTCACGCCCGCACCCGCAACTAGCAGCAGCGGCACAGCTGGCGTACAGCTGCGAAATGCTCAACGGGAGTCAAGCGACGGCGACTATGTCAATACGCCCAAACAGCAGCAGCAGCGTCTTAGCCAGAATGAAGTCAACCGCTCCATGTCGATACGCAGCAGTGGCGATGGTGCTGGCAATGGTGGAGCAACCGACCAGAACGACGTCACTCTGCGCCACTCACAGTCTGTGAGGGAGACAGCCAGGCAGGCGGAGTCGGCCGGCGAGGAGCGCAACTCGAGTTATGGGCTGGTTGGAGGCCACTCCAAGCGCGACAGCGCCAGCATAGTCTGCTCGAACAACTCGAACAACACGCGAACATTGCTGATGCAGAGTCCGCTGGTGGAGCCGACTGCCATACAGATCAGCATCAGTCCAGCACATACCGCCGAGCCTGTGCTGACATCCGGCGAGCGACTGCGACGCTTGGACGCCTCTATCAGAGGCAATTTGCTGGAGAAGCAAAAGATCATTTGTGATATCTTCCGTTTGCCAGTCGAGCACTTCAATGAGATTGTCGACATTGCCATGATGCCGGAGGCACCCAAAGACAGTGCGGATATTGCATTGGCCGCCTACGACCAGGTCCAGATCCTCACCAAGATGCTGAACGAGTATATGCACGTGACGCCGGAGCAGGAGGTGTCCGCCGTGTCGACCGTGGTCTGTGGCCACTGTCACGAGAAAGAGAAGCTGCGCAAAAAGACGACACTGGCATCCACGCTGTCGTCTTCGTCCGCTTCGCCACCACCGCTGCCGCCACCGAATAGACAACATGCACAGGCGCAGGCACAAATACCCATGTCCAGGTTGATGCCCAAACTGCAGACGCTCGATCTTGATGATGTGGCCATACACGAGGATGATGATGGTTACTGTGAGATTGATGAACTGCGTCTGCCAGTTGTGCCCGCCAGGCCACTGAATGCACCCACAACGCCATTGGCTCCGTTCAGAGCAGCTCCACCAGCGCCAGCACCAGCCACAGTAGCAGTCGCAGTCCCAACTGAGAGCAGCCACAAACGACAGAGCATGGATGGTAGCACGGAGGAGAAACAAACAGATGCAGAGGCCAAGAAGGATACTGACAGTCCTGCGGCAGCAAGCGACACGGAGCCAGCACTGGAGGACAAGCCACAAAATACACAAGAACAAACGGAACAGCAGGCAACAGCAACCACGGAAAAGGCAGAGAAAACTGAGGAAAAGCTTGATGTATCGATTGCAGCAGTCACAGTCCCAATCGCTTCCACATCTGTAGATCCAAGTCAAAGCAGCGAGGAAACAGCGGCAGCAGAAGCAGTGCCAGACAAGGCGCCTCCAGCCAGCGATGAGCAATCTGTAACTATTTACAACTCTTGCACACATTCTAAACCCACTGATGCGTGTAATCCTCATCTGCAGCTACAGCATGTGACGGTTTCCATGGTCGATAGCTCGACCCAGACCAGCGACACACCAACTGAAGCAGCTCCTGCAGCGACTGGTGGCTCCTGTGGGCCGAATCGCATACAGCATGCCAGTGTGCTGGAGCCCAGCGTGCCCTGCCATGCACTCAGCAGCATTGTGACAGTACTAAATGAGCAAATCTCCATGCTATTGGTAGGGTTTCTACGCCATCAAACAGTCGGATCATCGCCTCTAATGATATTTGCTTTTGTTTACAGCCAAAAATTAATGAGCGCGACGTGGAGCGGGAGCGTTTGCGTAAGGAGAATCAACACCTGCGCGAGCTTCTGAGTGCGTTGCATGAACGCCAGCGAGTTGATGATGTAAAGGTAAGGTACACACACACAGGATATGGCCCAGGTTTAATTCGTTTCGTTTTGTTAGGAAACTCCTTTTGATATTTCAAAGCTGATGCGTGCTGAGGAAGTGGAGTTTGATGATGACATTGATGGCATGTCCAATAGTTCGCTGACGCCGACACCCACACCAATACCGACAGGAATTAGCGCCAGTCTCAGTGGCAGTGGCAGCAGCAGCCAAACACTGACAGCGGAGGCCACGCAGCTGCATGCAGCTGATGCGCATGAGGATGAGGAATAGGAAGCTTGTTCAGTTTTTTTTTGTTGTATAAAATACATAAATATATTTGTTCTTGTTTTGCCCACACTCCACCCAATTGAATTGGGCGGCGTTGAATGTTTTACGAGCATGCCTTTTACTACTGTTAATATTTGTAGCTACATTTTGTTTTCTTAAATATTCTACTCTACTTTATATTCCAGCAGATTCAACGTAACACACACTTCGAGTTAAGCCTAACAAATTGTCCTCCTAAAACTAATTAAACACATAAACATATACATACTATACATTATATACCATATACATATATATATATATGCATATATTTACCTACTTAAATAATATGATGATGATATTTGCTAAATACACAATGTTTGATACATTTATAAAGAACAATCAAAAATAAAAATTAGGTACTCAGATTTATGCCGAAGTGTCTGCCGATTTAAATACGATTTTCCAGCTGAATGTGACTCACCATTCGCTGGCAACTAAAAATAAAACAACTAGCCAGCAGCAGCAACTTACGCACGCAATTAGCCAAAGTACTTAGCACTCACTGCTAGTGAGCAAGGGAAGCTCATCGCTAGCAGCTCTCTTGGATGTATATATTTATAATTGCCGACGCTCAGTCGGTCAGTGGTGAGTACCTTGCCACATACTGCGACGCACTGTGCACGAAATTGTTTTTAGTTTCTTTTCTACTTCGCAGCAGAATCGCACGTAATCGATGCAAGACTTCAGCGAAAAGATTCAGCAGGTGCACAATGAGCAGCTGGGCAGGTGCGCATACCCACAACCATTACGCACTTAAAAACTGATTAAATTCCCATTCCCTCTAGACATCTGGTGGCCAACATGCACATCGATGCTGGCGACACGTTGCTGGAGGAGCGGCCGCTGCTGGTCGCACCGCACTGGGAGTGCAGCCAGCTGAAGTGCTCCCAGTGCATGCAGGAGTCGTATGTGATGTGTCGCCGCTGTCAGGTATTTCCGCTGTGCATGGACTGCGATCAGCACAGTGACTTCGAGTGCGAGTTCTTTGCCAGTGGCGCGGGCAGTGGCATCTGCAAGGATCTACTGGTGAAGAATTATGGAATTTGTGCGCTGCTGAAGCTGCTGCTGCTGCTGGAGGATCCGACCACACGCGACGACTGCCAGTCGCTGGTCGAGCGGCCTGTGAAACTGGAGGACTATAGTGATACCGAGGGCATGTGGCAGGAGCACGAGGAGCAGGTGGTGCGCCCTCTGCTGGCCAGTGGCCTGGCGGGGGCCATGCCCGCACAGCAGCTGACAGCGGACGTGCTGCATGCCCACTGCATACGCATCGATTGCAACGCCTTCGAGGTGACTGGCCGCGATGGCGAGACCTTGAAGGGCGTCTTCGTGTGCGGCGCTGGCCTGCCCCACCACTGTGTGCCCAACACGGTTGTGGCCCTCGACGAGCAGTTCAACATGAAGCTGTACGCCGCGGTGCCGCTGAGTGCCGGCGATGTCATCTACAATTCCTACGCGAATCCCCTGATGGGCACCAGCCAGCGACAGCACCAGCTGCGACTCAGTCGCCACGTGGACTGCCGCTGCTCTCGCTGCTGCGATGCCACAGAAATGGGCACCCACATGAGCAGCATGAAGTGCCGCGAATGCTCCGCAGGCTTTGCCATCTGCGAACTTGGCCCCGATGGCAGCGGCGACTGGCGCTGCTTGGACTGCAGTGCTGTGCAGCCAGCGGTCGACGTTCATGAGCTGCTGGCCGAGGTGGGCGGCGCTCTGGTGGAGGCCAAGGGTGATCTGCAAGTCTACGAATCTCTGCTGGTGCGCTACAAACAGCTGCTCCATCCCAATCACTTTCTGCTGCTGGACATCAAGCAGAACATAGCCAGCATCCTGAGAGCCGCTGCTCTGATGAACTCCATGGAAACTCCCTGCAAGAAAATGCTCGCACGTCGCGTCGAGCTGTGCTCCGATCTCCTGCCAGTCTGTCGCGCCGTTGTGCCCGGCCTGTCCAAGCTGTACGCCATTGCACTCTTTGAGTATTTGCTGGCGCTGATTGAACTCATAGAGCTGCAGTTTGCCGAGAGTGATCTGAGCAAGAAGGAATATGCGGTGGGTGGAGACATCCATTTGGTCCTTTGTTTTGCTCTTTTTAATCAGATTTTATTGTGCTTTCAGGCTCAGCTGAGAATTGGCAGCCAGGTGGCCAAGGAGGCACTGGATTTGCTACGCTTTGAGCCGGAAAACTCTGCCGAGGGCTACCTCAGCGATCGCATCTCCATGGAGCTCGAGCGCATTGATTCCGATTTGATGAAGTATGGCGGCCGCTAGGCCCCAGCAACTGCATGTAAATTTAAAATTAAATAAAATAGATTAGACACCAAAATGGAAGTGGAAAGAATCTCGTTATCGTCGCTCGACCGATCCGTTTCGTTGCGGTTCAACACTTCGCGGGTTTGGGGGGAATAATTGAATGCGAAATAAATAAAGAATCGAAACGCCTTTTAATTATAAAAATAACTCACAAACAGCAGCAGCCACACTCGAGCACAGGCCACAGTATGCCAAAGTTAGCCAAAGGGAACGGCATAGACAATGGCCGCAGCCGCAGTCTCCGATGATTTTGCCAAGAAATGCGAGCTGCAGCACAACGACACGCTGGGCAGGTGCAGTGCGAACAAAGCCCTTTAATTGGCCCCCCAAATCCCACTCACGGCGCTCCTTTGCAGATTTGTGGTTGCTCGTTGCAATCTCAGCGCTGGAGAAACTGTGCTCCAGGAGCAGCCCATTGTCATCCTGCCGCACATTGGTGACCGACGCTGTGCCAAGTGCTTCAAGCTAGCCGAAAGGTTTTGCAGGTAGGTCGATTGCTTCATCGATGCTGCAGCTTATGTAAGGCTTTCGTTTAGCAAGTGTCGACTCCTGGCCCTGTGCGAGGACTGTGCCGGCCACGATGAGCGCGACTGCCAGCGACTGCGGGAGCTGCAGCTGTCGGAGGAGCAAGTGCAGCTGCTGCAGGCGAAGGTCAATGCAGAGGTGCAGCCAGCACTCGCGTGTCTGCTGCTGGGGGAACACGAGCACAGCAGGCCGCTGTACGCGGAGATGTCCCAGATGGAAACGCACTTGGAGGAGCGGCGAGGCACGGACATTTGGAAGAGCCACCAGGCGCATGCCTACGCACCGCTCGAGGCGACGGGTGTGCTGAAGCAGCTGCAGGCAGTGGATGAAGTGTTGGTGCAGCGGCTCTTGGGCATACTGGATGTCAATGTGTACGAGATTCGTGCCCCGGAGCATGGCGGCGCCATGAGGGGCCTGTACCGCAGAGCGGCTCTCTTCGCGCACAGCTGCCTGCCCAACCTGGAGACGGCCATCGATGACGAGCGGCGCATCAAGGTCTTTGCAAATCGTCCAATAGCAGCCGGAGAAACTCTCTACATCTGCTACACCAGCGTGCTGCTGGGCACCGAGGAGCGGCGACACATTCTGAAGACGGGCAAGTGCTTCGATTGTAGTTGTGCACGCTGCCAGGATCCCACCGAGCTGGGCACCCACATGAGCAGCTTCATCTGCAATGCCTGTGCCTGCTCCGGTGGTTACGTAGTGCGACAGCCCGAAACGGGCACCTGGCAGTGCCTGCTCAATCCGGAGCACAAACTGAAGCCGGAGTTTGTGTGCAACATGTTGGAGCGGGCCAAGGAGGAGATCTTCCATGCACGCGGCGACATCTATCGGCTGGAGCTGCTGCTGGTCAAGATGAGTCGGCTGCTCCATGGCAATCACTACCTGATGCTGGACCTCAAGCAGAACATTGCCTCAATCCTCCGTCAGATACTCCAGAATATGGCTCATTGTCCCAATAGGAAGGTTTACGAGCGCAAAATTCGCGTCTGCCAGGAGCTCTTGCTGGTCCTGAAGGTTGTGGCGCCGGGCATTTCCCGCCTAAAGGCCATTGCCCTGTACGAGCTGGCCAACACGCAGGCGGAGTTGGCCCGGAAGCTCTACAGTGAGCAGGAGCACAGCTCCAGGGAGCTGCTGGTAGGGCAGATAAAACTATTTTGGAATGTAGCCAACAAATATGCTTCACTTTTTGCAGGCGGAGCTCAATCAGACTGAGATTATGATGCGAGAGGCTCTCCGCATGCTGCTGTTTGAGCCCGTGGCCACTCCAGAGGGACAAATGTCGCGCAGCATGCTGCGGGAGCTGAAGGAGCTGCAGAACGACATCAAACTGTTGCAGGAATCAAGCGATGATGTAGTAAACTAATAACAATTGTTGTAGTGGCAGTTTAATGTTTTTGTTTTAAATCTTATTGCAAATCGTCAGCAGAGTTGTATAGCGGCAATTGTGCCGCCATCGTGTCTAGAGTTTACCAACACTGTTGATTTCAATTTGTTTTTGCACCATAAATTGCCAATAATGACTATAATTTTGGGAGTATTTGGAGGCAGCAATAGCTATGCTCATGTCTTGTGTGCAGCAATATGCCTTCGGCGTGCAGATTTTCAGGCACTTGCCAGGCGCTTCTTTGCCAGTAGCTGGGGGATTTTATTGGGCGCCAAAACGTCACTCCGCATGGTGACACGCCAAGAGCTCTTCGTTGTGCTTGGATTCTATACGACTTGGAACTTGGAAAAGTCCCTGCATGGACGGTGCACCAACCCCAACGTACCTTTGCTCGCGTGAGCCAGGGTCGAACCGCGCCATTTACCCCTTTTGTTAAGGCAATTAATGGTTTCCTTTGTTCATTGACAGGTTTATCGGATGACGCGCCGATGGCCATTGTCATGAATCGCTGCTAATGGGAGTCCTGCTGGAATAAAAGCCCTCGCGCTTTAGCTTGCGGTGTCATTTGTTCGCCATGGACAGGCGACAGTTGTGGCACTGGCTGAGGCGGATGTCTGCCTGGACGTGGAGTAGACTGCTGGCCTGGCTACCAGCGGTACTAGCTGGCTTCAGGAGCTACTACAATCGACTACGAGAGTTGGCTGAAATAGCCGGAGCCGAAACGGGCGTGCTGGCCATCAGTTTAATTGTTAACCGGCAGCTGCACATCTCGGAGCGTGCCGTCTGGCTGTTGGTGGTGCTGGGCAGCATCTACGCGGCGATCAGGCTCAGTGGGTTGCAGTACGAGCGGTACCTTAGCTCACCCACTGTCATATCGGTAGACCGGGATTATCGCGGCTGGAATGGATCGTTGCCGGCGGTGACACTGTGCTACTACGACCACATAGACTCCTTCAAGGCGAACGAGTACATACAGGATGTGTGGAATGTGTCCATCATTGACGAGGATTACTTTTACTTTATGGACTTCCTCTACGCTGTGGTCAATGCCACGGCCAGCAACTATGCGGAGCTGGCCAAGTTCGCCGAGGACGAGCGCTTCGATCAGGTGGATCTGTACGAGCTGATGCTGCGCGTGGATCGACCCTTTGAGCAGGTCATCAGCAGCTTCGATGCCAACTTCAAGGTCCATGTGCAAATGGTGATGACAGAGCGCGGCTCCTGCTATGCCATCAACTCGCCCATGTCCTCGGTGCTGAGTGGAAAGTAAGTAGCGAAAGCGGAAGACAAACTATCCATTTAGTACTTCCCTTTTTTGCCCCTACACAGACCCATTGTCTATGAGGAGATGGAGCAGCCACTCTCGTGTCAGTATGGTAAGCAGCAGTGCTACATACGCATGGATCTGTACGAGAGCACGGGCGTGGTAAGATTACACAATGAATCCATTGAGAATGGCTCTAACCGCTAGTCTATCACCCTGCCAGTTGGACGTGCACTCGCCGTATGAGGTATCCGCCACAGAGGCGAACATTGTGGCTTTGCACAAATCCGACGAGATAACGGCCTCGTTCAAGGTGCTCGAGACGGTGTAAGTAGACCAAACAGCTAGACACTGATTTATATGCTCACTTTTATTGCTGCTGGCTAGGGCATCGAAAACTCTCCACGAACTGAGCGTGGCACAGCGCAAATGCGTGTTCAACAATGAGGAAACATCCAATCTGAAGGTAATCCTGGGATCAATGCACCCCAGCAAAAAAGAGGAACCCTTTTCTTATCATAAATATCTTCATCTTCCTGTAGATCTATAGCAAGTCTCTTTGCCTGGCTCGCTGTCGCGCTGTCATGGCACTGGAGATGTGCAATTGTGTGCCCTTTTTCTACCAGTTTGTGGAGGGACCTAGCTGCAATCCGGCGGGATTCGAGTGTCTGCTGGACTTCAAGTGGCCCATCTGGGCGCTGCACATCTGCAAGTGCCCCTCGACCTGCACAGAGATCGAGTACACCATGCAAACGGTAAAGAAGAGCTCGTGGGGCGTCAAGAACAACGACGAAGTGGCCAGCAGTGAGACGGCTACCTCCAGTTTCCGTTGGGATTTAATACCGCCCAAGGTGCGACTGCGTCGTGATGTTGTCTACAGCTTTGAGGATCTCATTGGTGGGTGCGCGACAGTGTCAAAGCGAATGTTTGCTGAGTTTCTATGCTCCCTTTTGCAGTGTCCTTTGGCGGCGCCTTGGCCTTCTTCGTGGGCGTCAGTGTGCTGGGTCTGGTGGAAATGGGCCATGTGATTCTACACAATGTGCTGCTAGATATTACCATGCTGGTGCGCTGGATCTATGCTCAGGCTAGACGGAACAGAGCCAGCCACAGAGCGGTGGCGCAGCAGCAGCGTCTCTCGTTGGCCGACACAGCGGAACTGCCGCCGTTCGACTATGTGAATTGATAAGCGACAAACGACAAACGACAATTAGTTTGCCACCTAAATGCGGTCAAAAGTTTAATGTTACAAAGCGGAGGGCTCTGCTTTTGGGGCCATATGCTGTGGGGGTTGGTAGGTAGAAAACGTTGTAGCCGGCATAGACATAGCCCAGTTGCCGCTCAGTCTTCAACGCGAACAGTTGTGTATGTGGGTCCCGCTACCTCCCTCTTGTTGCCGTGATTTACAGGCACAGATTTAAGGTTTCTCCCCCGCGAATGTAAGAGATCGCAGCGATATGCAAATACATTGTTGTGCCACATAAGATAAGATAAGTGCCAGCCCCATCCCCGTGCGTGCGATTAGCCCCGCCAGCAGACAAACCAAATATAAAGATACAAAACGAGATCCCCGAAATCCCTAACCGTTCATTGAACTCTGCTGAATGAACGACTCACAGCAGCAGCAGGGCCCGTCCCTGTGCCTGGAGTGGAAGCATCTCAACTATTATGTGCCCGCCCAGGAGCAGAGCAATTACAGCTTCTGGAACGAGTGTCGCAAGAAGCGCGAGCTGCGCATACTACAAGATGGTAAGTGTGGGAATGGGTTTTGGATTTGGATTTGGTTTGATTTGTGGTATAAACTGATTGCAGCCAGCGGCCACATGAAGACCGGCGACCTCATCGCCATATTGGGCGGCTCGGGCGCAGGCAAAACCACATTGTTGGCGGCAATTTCGCAACGTTTGCGGGGTAACCTAACCGGGGATGTGGTTTTGAACGGCATGGCCATGGAACGGCATCAGATGACGCGTATCTCCAGCTTTCTGCCGCAGTTCGAGATCAATTTGAAAACATTTACAGCCTACGAGCATCTGTACTTTATGGTAAATCCTTGCACTTCACTCGCTCCCATAAAGACTTTTAATTGTATATTTTATTCAGTCCCATTTCAAGATGCATCGTCGCACCACCAAGGCGGAGAAGCGTCAGCGTGTCGTGGATCTGCTGCTGGCTGTGGGCCTCAGGGACTCTGCACACACGCGCATCCAGCAGCTGTCCGGGGGCGAGCGTAAGCGCCTCAGCCTGGCCGAGGAGCTGATCACGGATCCCATCTTTCTGTTCTGCGACGAACCCACCACGGGCCTGGACAGCTTCAGTGCCTACTCGGTGATCAAGACGCTGCGGCATTTGTGCACGCGTCGACGCATAACGAAGCACTCGCTGAGCCAGGTGTACGGTGAGGACTCCTTCGAGACGGCCAGTGGCGAGAGCAGCGGTTGCAGCTCCATCGAAATGGAAATTGTGGCCAAGTCGCACGAGAGCCTGCTGCGGGATCTGCCCACGCTGGGCCTGCTCAACAGCAGCCCCAACCAGAAGGCGGCCATTTGCTCCATACACCAGCCCACGTCGGACATTTTTGAGCTCTTCACGCACATCATACTGATGGATGGCGGACGCATTGTCTACCAGGGACGCACCGAACAGGCAGCCAAGTTCTTTACAGAGTGAGCAAGCTTTGCACAGCTCCACAACAGGGCACTGATACTCCTCTTCTTTGGTTGCAGTTTGGGCTATGAGCTGCCGTTGAACTGCAATCCGGCTGACTTCTACCTAAAGACCCTCGCGGACAATCAGGGCGCGCAGAATGCTGGCGCTGTGCTGCGCGCCAGATACGAGCACGATACGGATGGACTCTACAGCGGCAGTTGGCTGCTGGCACGCAGCTACAGCGGGGACTACCTCAAGCACATGCAGAGTTTGTGAGTGGCAGCAAGGATTGTCAGGGACTTGCTTTAATTGGGAAATATTTACAGCAAGAAGATACGTTGGATCTATCAGGTTTATCTGCTGATGGTTCGCTTCATGACCGAGGATCTGCGGAATATTAAAAGCGGCCTCATTGGCTTTGGTTTTTTCATGGTACGTATGTCGATCCAGCTGCTGCTGCTCCTCCTAATCCCTGTGGCACCTCCTTGCAGATCACCTCCGTGACGCTCTCTCTGATGTACTCTGGCATTGGTGGCTTGACGCAGCGCACCGTGCAGGATGTGGGCGGCTCCATCTTCATGCTGAGTACCGAAATGATCTTCACTTTCAGCTACGGCGTCACGTACATATTTCCCGCTGCGCTACCCATCATTCGACGCGAGGTAGGCGAGGGCACGTACAGCCTGTCCGCTTACTATGTGGCCCTGGTGCTGTCCTTTGTCCCAGTGGCCTTCTTCAAGGGCTACGTGTTTCTGTCCGTCATTTATGCATCCATTTACTATACGCGCGGATTTCTGCTGTACCTGTACATGGGCCTGCTGATGAGTCTCTCTGCTGTGGCCGCTGTGGGCTATGGCATCTTCCTCTCCAGCCTCTTTGAGTCGGACAAAATGGCATCGGAGTGTGCGGCGCCCTTCGATTTGATCTTTCTACTGTTCGGTGGCACCTACATGAACGTGGACACGTGGCCGGGCCTCAAGTACTTGTCGCTCTTCTTCTACTCCAATGAGGCGCTGATGTACAAGTTCTGGATTGACATTGACACAATTGGTGAGGCGAAAACTTGGATTTCATTCAACGAACATCCCTTTAGCTGTTCCTTTTAGATTGCCCCGTTAATGAGGATCATCCGTGTGTGAAGAGCGGCATGGAAGTGCTGCAGCAGGCCTCCTATCGCACCGCTGACTACACCTACTGGCTGGACTGCTTCAGCCTGCTGCTGGTAGCCATCGTCTTTCACATTGTCTCTTTTGGTCTAGTGCGGCGCTACATTCATCGCAGTGGCTACTATTGAATTGATAATCGTTGGGGCAACTTTTATTTATCCAATTTCATTTTTTGCATCTTACAAAACATTCACTCGTCGGCGCTTCAGGAAAATTACACAATGGCTGAGAGGCGACGGAGTTGATTAAAATTTTATGCCTAAACTTCAGTGGAAAAATATTGCATGGATCGTGAGGCAAAAATCCCCATAAATGTGTCGTTAATCTTAGTTGAACTTTGAACTAATTACGAGTTTGGGGCGTGCCCTGGTTGTGGGTTTTAAGGGATCAATTTTACAATTCAATCAAATGGTTGTCTGTCTGCCTGCCACTTGCAATTAAATAAATTAAGCTAAAACAACCAAAAAAATAATAATAATAATGCACACAGAACGTTTGTGAGTATTCAGCGTGCATTGTCCATAAATCGTCCATCCATCTGCTTCTGCCATTAGCTGTCAAAGGAAATTTGTCGCTTGGCCTTAACGCCAGAATTGTGGCTGGTCAGCGGTGGCACCTGGAACTTCCGCGCCGAGCCATTGCCACCGTAGTAGGGGCTAATGTTTCGCTGATCCTTGCCGGTGAAGTTCTTCTGCGCTGAACGCCGCAGCTCACCGTCCACGTTCTCGCGCAGCGCTAGGCCGCCCAAATTGCTCTTGGAGGAGCTGTTCTGCAATGTTGGATTGGGTCTGATGGGCTGCTGCAGCTGTTGCTCCTTGCTGAACAGATCCTCGGATATGCGATCCATCAGACTGGTTTGGGTGTCTGTGCAGGCCGTGGTCTGACTCACACCAAACGCATCGATCGAGTTCTCGCTGCCAAATAAGCTGATCGACTGCAGCGAGGAGCAGCTGGTGGCCTGCGAGAGCAGCAGCTTCCGCTGTGCAAACTCCTCGGGTCCAATGTAGCCCGAAAGTCGTGTGCTTGACAGCCGCTTGGCCTCGCTCTCCTGACTCCGCGCATGCATGTAAACGTCATCGGCATTCTTGCCTGCTATGACGCTGTAGGCAAACTTCTTGGCCAATCTGAAACCGATACCAAAAGGTTCAATAAACCTGAAAGCATAGGGCCTGGAAACCACTGGAAACTCACCGCAGCAGTGTCTCGCTATTGCTGGTCGTCTGTCCTAGATAGAACTCCTGAAAGATACGCTTCACAACGCGCGTCAGATCCGCCGCAAGCTGCCGGAAACTCTCGTGTTTCGACGTGATTTTTCGCTCCTGCAATGCCTGCGACACGGCCCACAGAAGTTTCTGCATAGAAAGAGATAAAATGTGAGTAAAAAGTAACAAAGAAGGCTCTAAATATGTTCCACCTTGCGTTGATTATCCGTCATGCTGCTGTTGGGCGTGGCACTCATCTCGGAGTGCGCCCGCTGCAGCTTGCTCAGCAGCGGCGTGCCGATGGACGTGCAGACGGTGAGGCTACTGCTGCTGCCGCTCAGTCCTAGACCGAAGCGGGCATTGCTGACAGTTGCAGACACCACAGTCGACTGCTGCTGCACCCGCTGCTGATGTGCTGCTGTGGAGGAACCAGCTCCAATGCAAAAGCTCTGACTCTTGATCTTCAGGGCACGCGGCGTCAGGCCACTGACACCGTTGCTGTCCGCACGGAACAGTTTTCTGCTCTGGCTGGCCAGCTCCGCATCCTCATCGTCGCAGGCAGTGCGCTTCCGCTTGAGCAGCGTCTCCAGATGATTGCTGCAGCTGCTGGCGCCCTGATGATCCGGCGAGAAGAGCGCACGCTTTGATTTCTCCACACGATTCGCAATCTCCGGCTTAAACAGCGGCTTGGGTGGCATCAATTGTTGTTGCTGCTGCAGCGTCTTGGCTGGACTCTGGAAAAGTGCGCGCTTGGAGGTTTCCCTCGAGGGCCCGGGCTTGATGAGATCCGTGCGACAGAGTCGTTTGCGCGCCGATGAACTTGGGGTTTTTCGCGCTAAACCAAGAATTTATGAGTTATGATTGGTTCACACTTTTGCTTATCTTATCTTTACCTTTCTTCTTGCTGCCGGGCGTTTTCCTTTTGGGTGTGGCCTTTCGCTTGTTGCGCACTTTTCTGTGAGGTAAAATCGAGATTAATAAGAAACTTTCAGGCAAAAGTCGTGCGGCGCAACTCACTTTGTATCCAGCAATATTTGTGGTCCTATTGAGCTGTTCAGCTTGAGGGAGTTTGTGGCCAAATTTGCAGATGAAAATATGGCGCGTCGCTTGGCCAAATGACTGAGGCGATTGCCAGGCGATTGTGTGAGCATTCTAGAAAGATTTCAGGGGGTTATGTGGACTGAAAATAAGTCTCTTTTGTCACTTACTTCATGCGCATGTTGCGCTTTTTGGCGCTTGATGGGGAGCGTACATATGACGTGGCTGTCTCCACGCCCACATAGCGATCCACGACGGACATACTGAGGTATTCATTTTGTTCGGCAGCCTTATTAAGATTGTAGCTAGAGGAGGGCAACAAATAATGCTACAAATTCTTCGTTTGTTCCGAGCTTTAATGAACTCACCTCAGTCCATGCTGTCGCACGCCCAGCACCTCGCGCCAGCCCATGTTTTGTGCATCGGACAGGCTGTGCGTGGGCCTGAACAACGAGCAGGAATTGTTGCTGATGTCGCTCTCCGCAATGCTGGCCACTGAGGTAGACGGTTCTTGAGAGAGAAAATTCAGCACCTGCTCCTTCATTCCCAGCACCGTGGTGATCACATCCACATCGGGCGTGGTCACAGTCGGCGGCGGACGTACGCCCTGCAGACAGCGTCGTATCCTGCGATAAAGTTCCCGTTCGCGTCGGCAATTTTCCAGGAAATGAGAGCGCTGATCGTTGAGTGGCAGGGTCGAGGCATCCTGCGTCTGTTCGTCCACAAAACTCGACTCTGTTGGGGCAGTGAGCGAGCGGCGGGCACGCACATCGCTTACACATTGCGACTCCTCCAGCACTTCGGGCAGATCTTCGAGAATTCTTACGGGGATGGCTTTGTGGGGCACTTGATCAGCGTTTTCCGCATCATCATCGCTGTCCGCAAAGAGATCTGGCGAGCGTTCGTTGTTGTATTTGTGTTGTGAGGTATTCAGAGAGGTTTCCAGCACAGTGGGCAGTCCTGGGTCGGCAGTGGAGGGACCTGGCCGCTCCTCTTCCGCAGGTCTCTCAGTCAGACTTTTGATTTTGCCATCGAAACTGAGGCAGCTGCCGTCTGTAGTTGTGGTTGCTGTTTCCGTGACTGACACAGCCATGTCCACAGCATTGCAGCTATTCTCCTCCATTAGGGTGTCGTAGAATTGGGGAAAGGCAATTCTGCCCGGGGAGGGCTTTCGCACTGCAGAGGCCTTTATTTCTGGCAGCTTTAGCTCCTGCACTTGGGAGCCATACAAACGCTTATTGACCTGACCGTAGGGGCTGTCACTAAAGCTACGGAACTGCGAATCTTGGCTGCCGATTTTGTTGCTGCCGGGTGTCTCCCCCGATGTCGCTGGATAGGGAAGGACGGGCTCATTTCTCAGTGATTTTAGTTTCATTAGATATGGCAGATTCATATGCTCGTCGTCAGATATGTGTCCCTCATTGTTTTCACTGAGCGAAGACTGCAAAAATACGTGGAATTTAGTGCAAATTCTCATAAAGAAAAGATAATTCCGGCATACCCCGCTTCCTGTAGACGGTTCCGATTCATAACTATTATTTATTTTGTGCCTCAAAGAGTTGCTGGCTGCCATTCTTTAACTGGAAAATAGATTTTATTGTTGTAGTACGGGTTGGTAGATGGTAAAGGCACGCGGCATTATGTACAGGCTCGCTCCACTTTTCGGGGGCTCGCAGTCCGAACGAAAATTAAAGCAGAGGTAGCACACAAAAGCCGCTGACTCTCGGTTTTGTTGGTTTAATTTTGTGATGCATCAATCAGGCTGAAAGTGCATTTACCTTTTGGAAATGTGGCACTTTTCCCCAGGTGTGTGGAAAAACTCTGCACTTCAATGCACTAAAACTGACCAAGCGAAAAACGCGCGTAGATGGTGAAGAGTTGTGCGCGCATTTAATGTGGTCGAGTCGCACGCAATCCCACCTTCTGCCTTTATCCAATCGAGCGCGCGACTTTTTTTGATCTTAGTTCATCTTCATAATTGCAATCACTCGTTAATTTGTGTGTTTAATTTTGTTTTTAAAAGTTGTTAGCGCGAACATCTGCCTTTTCATCTATTTTTGGCGGTGGTGCTAACGCGTCGTGGAAATGCCACTAGGGATGGGCGATAGTTTGAAGTATGACCACATTGTGAAATTAAATTAAATTAAAAATAGCTTAAATAATTATCTGAAAGGGTTTAAAATTAGTATTAAACTAATTTTAATTTATTTTAATATATATATCTATTTTTAATTAATACTAGATTAATATAAACACACATTTCTTCTTCAGGCACCTAAATTCTCCTTGCGCACAAACTATCGCCATTAGCATCGCATCGTATTGTATTGTATTTGCAGCACTGGCAAACAGCTGATTTGCGTATAACAACAAACAAGGCCTTAAAATTTATAAAAATTTTTATCTTTGCCACTGGCACAGCGCATTCGACTCCAAAATCCCCACCAAGTGCGATAAACCCACACCGACAGACTGTACCCGCTCGCCAACTATACAACTTCAGTGAATTGAAGCCGCTACATAACATAAATCTTTACAAAAAGTGAGACTCTGCTCTGTGACCTGTTGGAGGCTGAAGAACGCGCCTAGTTAAGTCGCCTGTTTTGATTAGTAATAACAACTAAGCAATTGTGACTAAATCAAGACAGACGTCACCCACTCATTCTCTGCCATGCGAGTCGATTGATTGCTTTCTCCACGAAGATGCGCGGAATTGAGGGCAAAGTTGTGGTGCTCGGATCGCGAGGTAAGTGCAATTAATTTAAATGGCTCTGGCATTTCATTCATAAGAAGAGGATTCGTAGATTACAAGCCATTTTAGCAATTGTAAGGCGATAATCAGCAGCAGTAGCAGCAGCAGCATAGCCTGGGTGAATCGATAAGCGACAGCCTTGAACTGCACCCACAATCGGGTTAATGATGGCCGGGGTCATGTTGGATCGTCTCGCTGCAGGCCCAAAAAGAAGGCGTGCCTGGCAGTCAGTCAGGGTGTCTGCTCTGAAATATTCTTATCTCAGCAGCAGCAGCAGCAGTGGCTGCACGCTAAATGGAACAGTCTGTGAGGCCAGGGAGATAGAAGAGCGATTGGAAAGTCTGTTAAAGATATCAGCACAAAGTTATTTCCATTAGCGATGAGCCACCACTGTACACGATTTTGCAAACTTTTTGTTGGTTTGCTTTGGCGGCTGTTTTCGCGTTCGTACATTCGATTTGTAATGCTAATATTTAAATTGCTGAAGGCCATGCAAAGTTCAACTAGTCATGGATGTGTGTGCTCTATACAGATGTGTATGCTTTATCCAGTTGTGGCTACGCTGGCATTGATTCATCTGCGGTACTTTTCTCCTGCTGACAAGCGTTCCTCCCTGAGCCTGAGAGCATGATTCATGTACATATCCAGCATACAGTCACGGGGCACGGGGATTTCTCAAGTGCAAGTGCAAGTGCAAGTGCATTTCTGACAAAGACAAAGGTTGGCGGCTGGCGATTTCCTTATCATTGTTTACCACCTGCTACGTCTCAAATATATAACTACGCTCTACGCTCTGTTTATTGTTTACTCTTTGGCCATGACAAATCAGCCGCCAATTAATGCGTGCGCTGCTGCCCGTCCATGCGATCGGTATGCTGATAAGACTCTGCTTGCTATTATTTATATTTGTTAGCTTAACTTCCAATTGTTTGTCGTTACAGGCGTGGGCAAGACGCGTTTGGTCATCCGATACATCAAGAATACGCTGCATCGCAGCGAGAGCGAGGTGCCAACCATAGCCGTCTCCTTTTTCACTTGCAACATCATCTTGGACGAGGTCAAAATCAAATTGCAAGTGCGTATTCCAAACACCCAACACCCAACAGAATGCCCCACCAGCCCTTTCATGGCCTCCACTGGATTGTGGCCGTAAAAAAAAGCCGAAAGCCAAAGGAATTTTCCTCGGCCCTACGCCCACTAATCCTATTTGTTTGCTGAATACCCCCCCCAGAACGGTTGGGGGCACACGGTAATCGGGGCTTATGCTGCTGCCACAGCCACTGTCCCTTCGCCCCCTGGGCACTGTCCCTGTCTGCCAGCTCGGGTCATTTTATTTGTTTTTTTTATTTTGCAATTTCTGCGTCCACTGCACTTTGTCTGTTATTTGTTTTTTTAGCTCACTTTCTTTCTTTTTTTTTATAGTTTATTGATAAGCTAAGCGCGAGCGGCGGTCAGCAGCAACAGCGGCAGCGGCAGCAATTTTCCCCCCATTGTGATAGGGTTGCCACCCCCTTCTGCCACTGCCATATTTTCTCTTGGATAATTCCGTTTTTTACGCTGCCATATAACAATGGAAGCTGCAATAACTATGTAGGGAGAGCTCTCCCTGCACACTCGCCGACTCTCGACTGGGTTGTACCCTAAAAAGGGAAGATAAATGCGGAATTTAATTCCGTTAAGTGGAGGTTTTTTTCCGTGTGCGATAAGCTTACTTTACAGTCTAGACTTTAGAGTCGAAATTTAATTGGGATCTTAAATATGGGTTACAAAAACACTCGCTCTTAATTCAGTCAAATGCAACAAGCGTGCAGAAATACCCGTCTGAGAACAATAAGAATGAATGCATAATGGCATATAGTTTTTTGTGTATTTGTGGATTCGTGGGGGTCTTTGTCTCGCTTCCCCTGTGCTTCGATTTAGTTTCGACAATGAACATGTCGTTGCCCCAAATTTTTATGAAGATTTGAATGGGCCAGAGCGGGCATAAAGCGGACCTGAACCCACAGCTGAAGTGCACATTCCACAATCCTCGAGATGATTGTTATTGCTGTGGGAGCACAATAAAGAGCAAACAATTGCAGAATAAACGCAGAGTGACTGAATGACTCAATTAAAGTTCAAGTCACGGGCGAACTCCAATCATTCAACTATTTAATCATTCCTTCCATCTCTTGCAGATCTGGGATACCGCCGGGCAGGAGCGTTACCGGGCCGTCGCACCCATGTACTATCGGAATGCGAATGCCGCCATTCTGGTGTTCGACCTGACGCAGTATAAGACGTTTACGGAAATCAAGTCCTGGATACAGGAGCTGCATCGCAATGTTCAGGATCCGATGATACTGACGCTGGTGGGCAACAAGATGGACATGCAGGCGCAGCGTGCAGTGTCCCGCGACGAGGCCTTTCTGTTTGCCACCTCCATTGGGGCCAACTACTTTGAGACTTCCACCGAAACGGACCAGGGCCTGGAGCAGGTATTCCTCTCGACGGCCCTGGGCATGGTGCGTCTCGCCGACGAGGGCAAGAGCCACTCGCTGCGCTCCTTCGAGTCCACCGATTCCCTGGCCTACACCAACACCAACACTGCCTTCAGTCACACGGTGGCCGCCTTGGCGCGTAGCCCAGGCAATGCTTCCTTCCGGCTGCCCTACGTGGATATCGGCCTGGCCGTCGAGGGGGAGGATGTGAAGACGAATGGTGTCGGTCGCCTGGAGACGCCGCCCTGGAGCATCGAGCACATAGCACTCGGCGAGGTGGAGAGGCCCAGTTGGTGCTGCTATTAAGCGGCCCAACCCCAACTCGGGGCGACTGTTATCAAGGAACCAACAATGTGATGTTAACAAAATCAGAATTACTTTAGTTCGAATATGTCTACGAATGGCCATCGCTAACCCAACTCAATAACAGCAAAGTAAATCCCCAAAATGGCTAGAAGCTATACTTTTTAAGCCCACTGTTTAGGCTAGAGAGAGACAGAGAGAGAGAGAGAGAGCGCGGAGCTGCTCGATGCATTGACAAGGCGCCTGGAATATCCGCTTCAACTTAGTCTTAAAGCTTAGTCTGCATATTATTTATAACTCAACGAGTAAGTAAGATCATTTGACCTTGCAAACCAAATACACAACCCAAAAGGAACACACACAAACAAACAAACACCAACTAATTCATGTACAAAGAAATTTTTATACAAAAAGAAAGAAAAGTAGAAGAAAGCAACACATACTGAACACCGATGCGTATACCATATATAAATATAAATATAGATCTAGATATATGTAGATGTTATACTGTATTTAACGTGCTCTGTCATTTTGTTGGGGTCTCGCTTTGGCTGGCAGCAATGCAAATGCATTAACTTGGCCATTATCGCGGCAGCTTAACGTGTAATTGGAATTTAATGCTACCTCATAACAAAGCCAAGGGTTACAATTGTATTTGGCTCATGGCTGCTAATGCTCTGGAGGGGGGCGTGACCAGCTTTTATTATTAACCGCCGTGCGGGCGGCACAACAACTGAGAATGAGAAATTCCTGTGTAGATATTTTTGGCTGTTTTAGCAAATCGATTTCTGATTACATTTTCTTTGCAGATCATTTAAATTTCGCTTAACATATTATTTCTTTATTTTTGTAATGGATTGTGACAGGTTTAATCAACAAATTGTTATTAAAAATTGTTGAAACAGATTGATTTTTGGCTGCTGACACTTTTGATTGATAGAAAATCAATGAATGCCTTTTTGGCATTCCCCTCAACCATCCACCCCAATTCGAATTCGTATCCAAGGCCCAGCGATAGGTTAAATTGAATGGCTAAATGTACTCATAAGTCAAGCCAGCAAGTCCGGGGTAGAGGCCAGACCATCGGGACGTACACAATGGCGCAAGTTCATAAAGCCAGCCCTGAAGGAACTTTAACGATTAGCTAATATACATAACTTATGGTCAGTTGAATCCGCATGTATAAATAATATGTGTAATTTAGCGTGAGGAGCCAACAAAAAACCATCCACAAAAGACCAAAAACTCATTCAAGTGTCATCAACAGATTTACCAGGCAGCTGGCTCCTCTGGCTTCTGGGTATGCTAAAGCCAAGGCTGAAGACGTAGCTGAAGCTGTAGCTGTAGCTGGACTTGGGGGATTCTATTGTGGTTCAGTCAGCTCATTGATTTGCCATTAGGGGACAGTAAATGAGTGCGGAGCCGTCACATCGCCACTCGTTCGTTTGTCTCTGTGGTTGAGCACTCAACCGGAAGTGATGGGAGCACACGTGTGTCAGATACCGAGTATCCTTGACTTATACAAGTACAAGCAAGATACCTCAACATCT